CTACCACCCCTCAAGCCTTCTCAGTCAACAGCTATCCCACTTTACCGTCTTCACATGTTACTTCTTTCAATAAAACTAGTAAACTAGAGTTGTGGCACTCTAGGTTAGGACATGTTTCCCTTGATGTTGTTTCCAAGGTTACGAAATCTTGTAATGTCCCAGTTTCTTCTAATGAAAAGTTTGTGTGTGGTTCCTGTCTTCAGGACAAAAGTCATGCTCTTCCTTATGTTAACTCTAACACCAACTACGTACACTCACCCACTTGAACTTATTCATATTGATGTTTGGGGACCATCACCTATCAAATCAGTCAATGGCTTTCAATATTATGTTTGTTTTGTTGACCAATATACAAAATTTACTTGGATTTATTTCCTTAAATTCAAGTCTGATGTGAAAGAAGCATTCATTCATTTTAAGAATCTGGCTGAAACCCAATTAAATCATAAGATTAAGGTTGTTCAGAGTGATTGGGGGGGGGAGGGGGGGTTGAATTCAGAAACCTTGGCTTCATTTTTACTGAGTCTGGGATAAGTCATAGACTTTCTTGTCCATACACTCCAGCCCAAAATGGGGTAGCAGAAAGAAAACATAGATCAATTATTGAAATGGGACTTTCTTTTCTTTTTCATGCTCATGTTCCTTTAAAGTATTGGGATGATGCTTTTAGTGCAGTTGTTTATACCCTTAATAGACTGCCTGTTAAAGCCCTTAATTTCCTTTCTCCCTTGCAAGCACTATATGGCCACAGTCCAAATTATTCCACCCTCAAAGTTTTTGGTTCCCTTTGCTATCCCAACCTAAGGCCTTACAACTCTCACTAACTACAGTCTAGATCTTTACCATCCACTTTTCTTGGGTACAGTTCAAAACACAAGGGCTATAAAGCTCTTCTCCTTTCTGGCAAGGTCATTGTTACTCGAGATATTGTTTTTGATGAACAAAACTTCCCTTTCTGCAAAGACTCAATCTCTTATCCTGAAAAAGACACCATCACTTTTTTCATTCATACCTCCACTCCCATAGTATCAACTTTTTCACCACAATCCACTGCCCCACATCAATCTCCAATTACCTCTACGATCAACAATCACACTCTCCTGTCACCACCCCACCTCAAAATTCAAACATTACTCATTCCTTATCTTCTTCTTCTCATACCTCTAATTCAGACACACTTTCTTCAAACTCCACTATCCATCTCTTTGTTGAGTTGCCAATTGTGAATGATACATTATCTGATCAAAGTGTTTCCTCTACACAACATGTTACTAATGTTTCTCCTGCAGCTCCACCTGTTCACCATATGGTGATCAGATCAAAGACAAGCTCTTTGAAACCAAAAGTTTTCATAACTCAACTTGATGAAGTGGAACCCACTTCTTATGTTGATGATCTTCAACACCCACAATGTTAGGCAGTTATGGATGCAGAATACCATGCTCTCATGAAGAACTCAACTTGGTCTTTAGTGTCTGTACCTCCTAACAGATCAATTATTGGCTGTAAGTGGGTTTTTAAACTCAAGAGACATGCTGATGGGTCCATAGCAAGGTATAAGGCTCGACTTGTTGCCAAAGGATATAGTCAAACAACAGACATAGATTTTTATGAAACATTTACTCCTGTCATTAAACCAACCACCATTAGAATTGTTCTGTGTTTGGCTCTTATTTATAATTGGACTGTGAAGCAGCTTGATATTAACAATGCCTTTCTTCATGGAAAAGTTGATGAGGATCTCTTTATGACTCAACCACCAGGTTTTGAAGTTCTTAGTTCTCCATCTCTTGTTTGCAAGGTGCATAAATCACTCTATGGTCTCAGACAAGCTCCAAGAGCTTGGTTTACAAAGCTGCAGCAAGTTCTTCATTCACTTGGCTTCTTTAATTCCAAGTCAGATAATTCCTTGTACATAAGGAACTCTCTTTCATCTTCAGTGTGGTTACTTGTCTATGTTGATGACATACTTATCACAGGCACCAATGACCAAGAGGTGCAACTTGTAATTTAGAACCTTCACACCCACTTTTCTCTCAAGGATCTTGGTCCAGTTCATCACTTTCTTGGAATTGAGATCTCAAAAACTTCAACTGGTATTCATTTGTCTCAATCAACATACATTAAGGACATACTTGTTAAGTGCTCCTTGTTGGAAGCCAAGCCTCTTGCAACACCTATGGCTACATCAACATCCTTGTCCAAATCTCATGGTACCCCTCTAGAAAATCCATCATTTTACAGAAGCATAGTGGGGTCTCTTCAATATGTCTGCATTACCATACTTGATATATCCTATAGTGTCAATAGGGTTAGTCAGTTCACGCAAAATCCTATGGACACTCATTGGAAAGCTGTGAAGAGGATACTTAGATACCTTGCAGGTACTACAACTCATGGTCACTTAGATACCTTGCAGGTACTACAACTCATGGTCTTCACTATACTAGACATTCCAGGTCTCATATCAATGGTTTTTCAGATTCAGATTGGGGTAATGACCTTGATGATAGAAGGTCTATCTCTGGTAATTGCATTTATTTAGGCAAAAATCCTGTCTTTTGGAGCTCAAAGAAGCAATCATTTGTGTCTCGGTCTAGCACAGAAGCTGAATATCAAAGTTTGGCTCAGATTACAGCTGAAATAACTTGGTTAAGATCCTTACTTGGTGAACTTAAAGTTCAAATGTCTGTCACTCCTACGGTAAGGATAGATAATATGAGCACTATGTCTCTGGCCAGCAATTTAGTCCTTCATGCAAGGACCAAGCATATAGAAATTGATCTTCACTTTGTTAGGGACCAAGTGTGCAAAGGTGTTCTCAAGGTGCATCATGTTCCCTCGGTTGATGAGATTTCTGATATCCTCACAAAGCCTTTTGCCTTTTCAAACCTTCAGTCGGCTCAAGAATTTCTTACAAGTTTCTCCTCCTTTGGCTTAAGGGGAGATGATGAGATATTATCCTTAAATGAAGTTTAGTGTCCAGAATTACATTAACAACATTCAATGCATAAAAGACATGCATGTGGACAGATTATGTTGTAGCAAATTATTTTTACCGAGCACCGAATTGAATGATTCGTTTCCCGGGTCGATCTCTCGAGGAAGACGGTTCAGAATTCAGAAATGGTATCGATAACACATAAAAGAAAAATAACTCCTAAACACTCTAATCATGATAGAGTTTGAGATTTATCAACTAAGAAATAATAAAAGACAATAGTCTACCTAAAAATATAAACGATAAAAAGATAAACGAGCTAGGGTATCGAGAATAATCGCTTCCGGTTCTACACACATTTAACGGCAATCGATAACTCGGTTAAAAGGCTCGACTAATTAACTCATTTAGCGGTTTAACCTCAATACGTCTCCGAACATGCTGATAAACATAAATGAGCGAATTAACGAAACAATTAACACATAGACAATACGTCTCCGAACATGTCTACTCTAAACGAGCCAAATTCCACCAATTTCTGCCCTCTCGGTTTTGAAATCGATTATCTCTACGACTCCTCCCCTTTCGGTTCTAAAAGTCACAATTCGTCAAATTAACAAACTCTAACTCAACAAATAAATATTCAATCACAAATCAAAGTGTCACTCTTTGATTATATCAACAAATTAACCTAAGTGTCACTCTTAGGTTATAACAATTTATCAAGTATGATTTTATCAATTCATAATTAAAACAACTCGTCAAGATTGATTTATCGTCATGCACGTAAACGAGAACGAACCGAAATGATTATCCCTTAACCCTAGCTAAAGGATTAGCTACTCATATCAAATTCAACACAACAAAATACTTCTCCTAAATTAACCAGTATGCATGAATTAATTCAAAGAGAAAATAAACTTACATATCAATCTTCAAGTGTTGAATTCAAATACAAGCTTCCTCCAAAAGACAAAATAAAGAAAATACAAGAAGAAGAAAAGAGAAAATAAGAGCAGAGAAATAGAGGGAGAATGAAAGAAGGAGAGAGGGAAGAACCCCTCTTGGTTCAAGCATGCATGGATGGTCCTTGGTGATGATGATGATCCTCCTTTTTGTAGTGGAATGTTGGAGAAGAAGTAGTGGTATTCTCCCCAACACCATAGCTCAATTTGAGGTGGAAATTCTGGTCCAAAGTTTGCCACTTTCAAGCATCCTCAAGACAAGCCCGGATTTGAGGAAAAATAAGAATATGTTGTCTGCCAACAGGAGCTAGCCAGCGCCGCTAGGGTATGGATGGCCGAGGCTCTGAAGTCCGCTAAGGGTAGCTAGCGGCGCTAGGGGGCTGGACTGCATGACTTTGCGTTTCGGGCTGGTTTGGGTTCGTACGAACTCGGAATTGAGTTTCGTTTTTTCCTATGTGTCGCTAACGAAGTCCTCTATTCAATGATGCTTGATTGGCCAAATTATTCTTGAAATAATATTCTCCCAAAGCTCTTGACCTACACATTGAACGTGTTTCGCGCGACTTCGCGTTTTGGAGCCGTCCGGGCTCGTCCGAACTCGAAATTGGATTCCACTTTTTTCTATGTGTAGCTAAGGAACCCATCTATCCAATCATGATTTCCCGACCCATTTTTGAGCTAAATCGATTCCTCACGGGACTTCCGACCTGCACACTAAAAACAAGAAGAAAAACGTAGAAAAACGACAAAATACACGAAAAACACATAAAAAGCCAAAATAGAACAAAACACACAATAAACTATAAAATGAACTAAAAACAAGCAAAAAGACCTAAAACGGAGGAAAAAGAATTACAAAATAGTACAGAAAAACGTAACAAAAATGGTCACAACAGATTGTAGTACATGCAGCTGGAAGAATCATTTTTGATTTTTGAATTGTTGATCTTGATTGTTTAGGAAACGTTGGATCACTGTAACTATGTCTATATATATAGACTCACCTTAATGTAACCCTAAGAGAGTATTGTCATCAATATAGCAGCTTTATCTTTGTGACAAAAATGGCAATCTACAACTTTTACTTTCTGCCTTCATTTATGAGCTTTTGTGATTTTGATTTCATGTTTCCCAACAGCTGATAAGCTGGGCTGCCATGGACTACATATTGGGCTGGTTAGAGTAGTGACCTTCATTGGGTTGTGCATGAGCATGGCTTCCATTGGGCAGTGCTTGAGCTGGTGCATGGAAATTGTTGAATCAGTTGAGAAACAAAGGGGGAGAAAAAAGAAAAAAACATTTAATTCAGCAAACTTTGCCATATACTTTGTTCATTCAATTCAATTACATAATCTAAAAAAAATAATAAAACATTTAACAATAACTATTCTGAAAAAATTCAACGTAGGCATAGAATTGAGGAGTAGGGCAACTTACGGCAGAGGTCTCTGTGTCGGTGGTGCCGGTGGCGGAGGCGGAAGGAAAGACAAGCGTGTTCAACAGAGGCGGGGACTGTAACTTCACGCCGGACTGAAGTGGAGGCTGAAACTTCACTGACGGATGGAAGCGGGGGCTGGAACCGAACGTGTTCACGGCGCGCTGAGGCGGGGCTGAAAAGACGGAGGCGGCGGTTGAAAATTCCTGGTGGACGGAAGCAGGGTTTGGAACTTCGCGGCAGACTGAAGCTTTGTTCACGGCGCGCAGAGGCGGGGCTGGAACAACGGGCGCGGCGACTGGAACTTCACGGCAGATGGAAGCGACATCAGCTTGTTTAATAAAAAAACAAAAGGCTCAGCTCGTTTAAGTTCATAAAAACTCGGCATAGCACGTTTAATAACCTAAATATCTAAACGAGTAGTTCCCTAACACTGAAATATTCGTTCGCAAACATGTTCAACTAGTATGTTCTCTTTAAAACAAAAACATGAGTTGTTCGAGAACAAGCTCGACTCGGCTCGTTTTAATAAAGAGCTTGATTAGTTGTTCAAACAGTGCTCGTTCAAGCAAGCTATGTTCACGAACAGCTTGATTCGAACAAATCTTCTACCGAACATAGAGGAAAAGATGAGGAGCTCACCAGGACGTTTACCGATAATGCCCCACACAGTTGACCTCACTCTTGAAGCCCTTGTAAACCAAAGGCTCCCCTAAGTTTCCAAAGGCCACATAAACTTGAGATAATCACAAGGTAATAAAACAGCAGATAAATAGATAAAGAATAAATCAATTTTTTTTTTCCAATAATCAATCACAGAAATCCAACCTTCACACAGTGAAAATCAGAAAGAGAAAGAGAGAAAAGATTAGACCTTGCCGCGTTTTTGGGAACGCCATAGCCACTGTAGTACATCTGGCCCACGAGCACCTGCATATTGATGTCGCCGGCCTCGCCTCCTTCAGCGCGTCCTCGAACCACCGCTCGACGCAGTCGGCAACGACCTTCGACAGAGGCAGCCGCCGCTTATCGGCCACGAAGCCGCTGTTCTCAGCCTCTATCGCCGTCCTGTTTTCTGCTGCTGCTGCTATAGCTCCGCTGCCTTCTGATGGGCCGTGTGGTTGATTGTATTTTCCATGAGTGGATGAAAAATTCCTAATTATTTATACTTCTTTTGCGGCCACGATTTTCGCGTTGGGATAATTTTGGGAATTTTTCCGAATTAGGGGTTGTGAAAATCCATCTATCTGTACTGAAGCTTTCCAGTACAACGGACACGGCGACTGGAACTTCTCGGCGGACAGAAGCGGCGGGGTCTGCAACTTCACGGCAGATGGAAATTTTTTTCACGGTGCGCAAAGGTGGAGGCTGAGCGGGAAGTGAATAGTCAGATTAGTAGAAATTATGTTTACCCTAGTGAATTATGTAATTTTGATTTGTGATATATTTGATTTATTGAGTTTTTATATGTGGTGAGTGTTTAACTACATATAGATAATTTATATTTAATATGTGGTGGAAAAAGGCCTTATGTTAATTTTGATAGGCATTGGGTTCTTATACGAGGTTACTAGAACCACATATACATAACAATAATTTTATTATAAAAATGCCACCGTCTTACTTTCTACATGGGGTATGTTACAGTCGATATAAAAAGTGACCCTAGAATGTGTTTTTTCTACTAGTGATGAGCTGATTTATGAGCATCTCCAAGAGTGTTCTACAGTAAACAACGGGCCAAGAGTTGGTTGATCGGTCCTGCAAGAAAGCTCTTGAGCCTAGTTCCTAGACAAGGTAAAGAGGACCACCAACGATAACTATCCGAAGTGGGCTTTTTGTATTTGTTTATTTATTTATTTTTTTGCCCCGTTTCTGAGAGATGTTGTTAAACTTCTCAACCCTGTCAAGAGAGTTCTAACAAAATGGGGTTCTATCCTAGCTAAACATCAGTGTTTTCATCAAACACCCAATTCTAAATTGAAGTACAACTTTATTTTTTTATTGGACTTACAATAAAAAATTAATTGTAATATATTGTAAGACTTTGATGGCTAGAAAAATCACTGGAAATCATTTATCTAGAGAAAATTTTCAAAACCCTAAATCGCCACCAACTTTTGTATGAGAAGATGTGCATTCAAAAGAGAGGTTCAGAGACAACGACTTGAAGGGGAGAAATTGGGTTGTAAGAGAAAATGTGTGCGTGTATTTTTTTTAAATCTCTTATCCTTTAGTGTGGTTGTTGTATATCATAGTTGGATATATATTTATGATGAGTAGGAATTTCATTTTGCTAATCACTATGTCATATGAAAAATTTGTTATTTGTATTGTGGAATTTTTCATAATCACATGGAGCACCAACCTTGGGCCAAGAAAGTAAAAAACCCGTTAATATCATCATTCTTTAGAAAACAAGATTGGCGTCAAACTAGTGAAAGCACACAAATACGGTGCAAAATGAGCTTTTTTTTAGAAGCTTGTCGAGCACAACTTCAGTGAATATTTAAAGAACAATATTATGTGATTTTTATGAAAATGAATTTTTAAAATTCTAGTCCAGCCTACTCTTAATTTCTGGATCCGTCCATGAGTCGGCCGCAATATCATGGTGTAGCAAGAGACAACCAATAGTGCCCCTATCAACAACAGAGATTGAGTACCGAACAGCAGCATTATTGGCGGCACAAGAAAACACATGGCTTATGCAACTATTAAAAGATCTACATCAGCCATATAGCTATGCGGTACATCTATATTGTGTTACCCAATCCGCTATACGCATAGCATAAAATCTCATATGCCACATGAGAACAAATCATGTTGAAGTACACTATCACTTCGTTAGATAAAAGGTGCTCAAAGGAGAGATTGAGATGAAACACATTGGTACGAAAGACTAAGTAACCGACGTGTTCACCAAAAGGCTCAATTTTTCATAATTGGAAGAGTTCCGAACATGTCTTGGAGTGATTCAAGCTGAAAACATAACTCAAAAAGATGTCGTTGTTGAAGGTGAGAATTGAAAATCATCAACTGACATTAATAAAAATTAAGATAACTATGGCCATTAAGAATTAGAACATTCTGGACAATTAAAAAAGCTTCAATAAAGTTCACTCTGGTAAGTAAATAAATAATTAGTACTCCAGAGCTTTCCACTAAACACCGACTTAGTCTATATGTATATATATATATATATATAGAGAGAGAGAGAGAGAGAGAGAGTTAGGATCATATAAGAATGGTAGGTAGTAAAAGAAATAAGAATGGATCTGGACCATTGAATACATCATACCAATGGTCATGATCAAGTTAAATTTTATTAATTGTAGTCAAATATATAATGGCATTTTTGTAATTAAATATACAAATTATGGTCAAATATTTATATTTGACCAATTATTAAGGGTAGATTAGACAATTCACTCACACACCCATAAGTGGGCCCCGCCCCACCCCACTCTCACCCTCACCCACGCACCCACCCTCATCTCACACACACACACACAGAGTACACACACAGTCCACCACCGGTCACACACACACACACACCGCAATTCCCGCCAGTCAATCCTTCCTTCTCCACCGTCGCCGCTGTCGCGCCTCCGTCACCACCCACATCCCCCTCTGCCGCCTCTTTCCTCATCCACCATTCCACGAGTCTCCCCACCCCACCCCCGTTGGAACACAACCCTAGATTTTCGAGGACGACCTTGATTTTTTTCTTCTGTGACCTCTCGACTGCCGTTGTCGCCAGGATGTAGGCGTCAAATGTTTGGCCCCAACCTTGATTTCCTCAGCCATCGACGAACGACGGCGTTTCCTGAACGACCCCATTTTCGATCGGGGAATTTATGGGATTTGGTGAAATTGATGTGAATTTTTTTTCTTTCTTTCAGCAGATCGAGAACGGGGTTGGCGTCGTAGAGGAAGATTGCGGCCATCGTCGGCAGCAGAGTGTGTGTAGTTCGACGGCGGCGCTCGCGCGGGCGGTGAAGCTTGGTGCCGGCAAAAATTCAGATTGGGACTGGGCGATTTTTTGTAAATTTGACTAGTAGTAGGGACCTAATTGCAATTTCATAAATTTCAATATATTTCAATTTAATGAATTGGTTAAATTTATAATTTATTAAAAAATTAGTAGTTACACAATGTTGTTCATTAGAGTGCACAATATAACATTTGAATATGCACAATAAAAATATACACTCTACAAGCTAAACAACATAATCAGACAAATTGCACATTAGTGTCTACGGACAAACTGCATAATATATCCCTCTGTATATGCACAATAAAAATACTACACAAATTTTTTATAATGTAAATAATACTATATTTGTATAATTTTGGTTTCGACATTCCGGGCTATCAATTCGACCTAACCGACCGACAAACAACACTAGACATAGTGGTATTTTTGGTAAATTTGGAAATTCAATTATTTCGTGTATTTTTAAAATTAAATGTGAATTCAAAGTGAAATAATGAAAATTTTAAAGGTAATAATATATAATGGAGCCGACATATTAATCCCGACCCAAAGTTTTACTTCGCTCGGTTTCAATTAGTATGGTGCAATCTCTCAGTCATTAATGTTGCAATCAAGTAGTCACTAATGTGCAATTCGTATAACAATTATGTGCATTCGAAATGCAAATATTTTTTATAAAAATATATTTAGTATTTATAAATTTAAATTAAGTATAACAATTATGTGCATTCGAAATGCAAATATTTTTTATAAAGATATATATAGTATTTATAAATTTAAATTATCTAAATAACATATATTATTTATTATTTATTATTTCGATTGACTAATAATATTTTTATGTAATTTGGCAATCCAATTATTTCGTTTATTGTTAAAATTAAATGTCAATTCAAAGTGAAATAACTAAAATTTTAAAGGTGAAAACATATAATGGAGCCGGCATATTAATTCCGACCCAAAGTCTTAGTTCGTTCGGTTTCAATCGGTGTGGTGCAATCTCTCAACCATTAATGTGCAATCAATTAGTCACTAATGTACAATTCATATAACGATTATGTGCATTCGAAATGCAAATATTTTTTTATAAAAATATATTTAGTATTTATAAATTTAAATTTTTAAATAACATTTATTATTTATTATTTATTATTTCGATTGATTAATAATATTTTTATGTAATTTGGAAATTCAAGTATTTCATTATTTTTAAAATTAAATGCGAATTCAAAATGAATTAACTAAAATTTTAAAAGTAAAAAACATATAATGGAGCCGACATATTAGTTCCTACCCAAAGTCTTAGTTCGTTCGGTTTCAATCGTATGGTGCAGTCTCTCAGTCATTAATGTGCAATCAATTAGTCACTAATGTGCAATTTGTATAACAATTATGTGCATTCGAAATGCAATTATTTTTTATAAAAAATATTTAGTATTTATAAACTTAAATTATCTAAATAACATATATTATTTATTATTTATTATTTTGATTGATTAATAATATTTTTATGTAATTTGGCAATTCAATTATTTCATTATTTTTAAAATTAAATGTGAATTCAAAATGAAATAACTAAGATTTTAAAAGTAAAAGCCGACATATTAATTCCGACTCAAAGTCTTAGTTTGTTCGGTTTCAATTGGTATGGTGCAATCTCTCAGTCATTAATGTGCAATCAATTAGTCACTAATGTACAATTCATATAACAATTATGTGCATTCGAAATGCAATTATTTTTTATAAAAATATATTTAGTATTTATGAATTTTATTTAATATTTTATATTANTTATCCCCTTTCATCGTCAAATTCTCCATTCGTATTCACGCTTGATATCAGAGCTAACGAAGTTATCTATACGGAGGGCCAAGAATTGGGTTGGGATTTTCGGAGATTTGTCCGGTTCGCATTCACGGCGGGACGACTTTTCCGGCAGATTCCCGACGATTTCGACACTCTAATATGATGGCGTTGCCGGAGCAGACGACCGTGCGATCCTAGTTGAAGGAAAGCGCTCGACGGCGCGGTGGCAGAGGCCAGTAGTGGAGGAAGACGACCATGCGATGCCGCCTGTGTGTTCGTCGGTGGCATATCCGGCGACTCCGGCGATGGCAGGATGATTGGTGTTGGCGGCGGAAATAGTTGGTCGCCGGCGGGAAGGGCAAAGTTAGTCGCCGGCGAGAATGGTGGATCTGCGGCAGACGTGCGGGTGGGCGGATCTGTGGTGGAGGTTCGGATGGAATCTCGATCGTGCTCGTCGCTGAGGGTGGCGGAGGTGACCGGCGTGACAATGAATATGGCGATTCCGGCAGAATTCTGGGCGACGGCGCCGTCGTGGAAATCCGTCTGTCACATAAGTTGCCGGCGGGACGCGTCTGTGACTGTGGTGTGTGTGTGTGACGGGGGTGTGTGTGTGAGAGATGGAAAGAATGAGTTAATGAGAGAGAGAGAGTTAATGATGACAGAGAGAGACTTTAGTGGAGGGAGATAAACGGGTGACGTGGGGCAGTTGGGGTGTGTGTGTGGGTCCTACCGATTTTTGGTGTTATCACTACCACATTATCCTTAATGAAGTATAGTTTTGAATCTATATATATATAATTACTAGTTAATAGTATTTAATAAAATTTATTTAATTTTATCTATGTGCCAATTTAACAATTTTCCCTTCAAAAATCGTTACATTTTGATGTATTTAATATTTCATTTAATCATTAATAATTAATACTCATTACTTCAAAATTACAAAAATTATTTTAAACTTTTGATTAATGATAATTGACCATATCATATAATGTGTTGACAGTATAATGTAATTAGATGTTATTATTGTTGTTACATTTAATTTTATTTTTGAAAATAAAAAATATATTTGAAATTCCTGAATAAATAATAAATAATTCACAAATAAAAGACGTACCAAAATATACATTACATCCAATCAGATAAACGCAATTTTAAAAAAAAATATTTCAACTCTTTTAATTGTAAATTTAGTTTGCAAAAAAGTGAAAGAAAAATAATTAACCATTGTATGCATACAGACTCACAATAATTTATTTATATATGTGCAAATGCACAGGTCGAATACTAGTTTCTTTTTACTGACTAGATCATGCAATCTAATGGTTATGATTTATTCTTATTTCTTTCACTAAGCACCATTTTCACTGGAGGGTCGCGCTCCGGTGAGAATGGTGCTTAGTGAAAGAAATAAGGATACATCGTAATCATTAGATCGGATGATCTAATGACTAAAAATAAATCAATATTATATCTTCATTAAGGTTAGTGTGGTAACACAAACAGTGGGACCCATGCCTCCAACACACACCAACTATGTGGGCCCCACCACCTCACCCCACTCTATCTCTCATTACCCCCTCTCTCTCTATCTCTCGTTACCTGACTCTCTCACACACACCTCACACACATCTCATCCGTCAGTCACACACCCACACAAACATAGTTACACACACATGTCATTTTCGCCGGATTGCCACGGTGGCGCAGTCTCCCCGCTCCCGCCGGCACTGTGCCTCACGGACGTCCGCCGCTGCACCTCCATCATCTGCCACATCGCTGCCGGAAATGGTGAGCTCCGAGCCTCTGTCGTTGAACTCGCCGCCTCTGAGCTCCTCCACCACGAAGTTTTGCCGCAGACCAGCGCCACCGCAATTATCCAACCATTGAAAATCGCCGTCTGTCTCGCCGGCCACCTCCGCCAATATCCGCGACGAGCGAGTCCGGCCGAAACTCCTCCCTGCTCTGCCATCGTGTACGGCGTCGTCGGGTAGTTCTTCGTGACCGGCGTCGTCCTTCGTGTCCGGCAACGCAGCCGCGGCCGATGGGCAGATGACCGGAAGTTCCTGCAAAAAAAATAATGGGCCTGCAACTTGATTTGGGGATTAGGGTTTTATTTGGGGATTTTTTTTTTGAAAATTAGATATTATTAAAGGACCTATATGCAATTTCTTCAATGTTTATTGCTTTTATTTAGTCCTTGGCCAAATCTATAATTTGTAACAAAAAATGTAATGGATACATATTAATGATAAGTAAAAAATGCACAATACTTAAAAAATTTAATATGTAATTTGCGGAAACACATAATAAAAATTACATGTATTGTGCATATTGCACAATATTGATACACTGAGTGCACGTTAATGATGTCGATAATCCACATTATCGTAACGCAATGATTCCTTGTGAAAAAATCAAAAGTATACTTATATACGCTATTAAGTATGTTTTTTACTTTTAAAAATTTGATTATTTTTCTAAAACAACCGAACTAACAGATCCGACCAAACTATATAAATATATATATATATATATATATATATATATATTCTTTTATACAACAAGTAATACAAATTATTAAATATAAATATTAAAATACTAAATATATTTTTTATAATAAAAATTACAAATTATTACTATTATTTAAGTGAAAACGATCACCCAGTCAAATAAACCGGTTATTGTGTTTTCAATTTGGGTTAAGAAAACAATAAATAAATAAATAAATAAAAAACTTCATTTCGAGTGCACATTAGTGTTATACGAATTGCACATTAGTGACTGTTGGGTTGAACCATATCGACCAAAACAGGTCGATTAAATTTCTTTTGTCAAAATTTTATAGTTTGGTGCGATTATCTGTTTTTTACTTTTAACTCTTTTGGTTGTTTCAATTCAATGTCATTTTTTTTTAAAATAACCTAATCGATCGAAATATAAAAAAAAATATTATATTATTTTTGTTATTTATATATTTTAGGTATTTACAACAAAAAATAATAGAAAAATATTAAACAAAACATTAAAATAATAAATATATTTTATATAATATGAACTATAATTTGTTCCGATTAATTATGTTATTCGGTTCACAGACAAATAAACCAACTATTTCATTTTGTTTTAGTTTGTTTGGGCAAATCATAAAAAATTAATAAACGGCTAGTACACAATAATGTTAGACAGATTGCACATTAATGACTATCAGATTGCACATTAATGAGTATCAGATTGCACATTAGAAACTAAAACACGCCGAACAAAAAATTCAATTCGAATTATTTTATATTTCGATTTGATTATATGTTTTTAATTTTTACTTTTAAATCACATTTTTATGAACAATATTATGCAATTCACTAATCAAAAATAACGTATTTATTATTTTTTAATAAGTTCGTATAAATATAAGAATATTTTTAATATGCGTATATACACACAATATTGTGCAGTTTACTTACATAATGTGTTCAATTTTCAAATTTTAATAAATTTCAAATTTAACCCATGAATTGAATTGAAAAAAAGTTAAAATTTTGTATTTTGTAGATAAGTCCTTGGAACTTATCTAATTTACAACATCAAGCCCCAAAATCCAAAATCCCCAAATTTCAAATAAAATCCTCCACTCCTCTTTCAACAGAAACCGCCGTTGCTACCACAGGCTCGAGCCCGGCGGCGGCTGCCTGAATCGAGGTGCGACCCAGATGTCTCGGCCACCTCATACTACTCGTTTTTTCATCCGGCCACAACAAGGCAATCGATGAAAGGAAAGGAGATGTCCGCAAGAATTATAATTCGCGTCATTTTCGAACCTGTCAGTCCAAGAGAAGGTCGACGACGATCGTCGTCGGCTTCCTTCCGCCGACGACACGGCAGACGCCGAGAGTAAAGTAGAAGATGAAGTCGTATTGGTTGGCGGGGATGAGCTGTCGGCGTGAGAGGAAACAGAGAGATGGTGCGAGAGTGATGCATCGGGTGGCAGCGGACGGCGGGCTGCTGCCGGCGGGCTGAAGCAGATCTGTTATTTTTCTTGTGTCTGAATAGTGTGCGTGTTTGTGTGGGTGACAGGATGAGGGTTAGTGGTTGTGGGGCCCGCATATGTAGGTGGATAATTATTGAGTGATTATGTAATTACCACATCGTCCTCATTTAANTAGTGTGAGTTGAGATTGATAAATCAGTTTTGCTATGAAGCCGACAATTGACTCTATAAGGGAGTCAACCTTATATATACAACAAGTAAATCATACTATATTAATAAAATTATTAGTATTTATTTAAATAATCAAGAAATATAGTATGATTTACTTGTTGTATATAGAAGGTTGGCTATTGGTGATAAATTTGTAATACATTATTTGTATAATAAACTTAATTTGGTGTGTTACAAATAATAAAATTAATTTGGTGTGTTAATCTTGAGTTTGTTGGCCCATTTATTTACAACAGTTCATAACAATCACTTTGACTTGGTGACAGCTATTATAGAATTGCAAACCGAAGAGAAATATGAAAAGAAAAATGCTCGAGTTCAACTTTTCAAGCTAAAATAAATTAAAAAGGAGATAGTAAGCACATTCAGATAAAAGTCCTTTAACATTCATTATTCCAGACCAAATGTAAAACATTTCACAGTATATCCCGTTATTGAGGTACTAAATTAAGCAGAACACAAGAGTCTTGAGTGACCAAAGCCACTCTTATTGAAAGCAACATTCATAAGTAGAAAACAGTTTAAAGGCAGCACGAATCAGATGAAGCGTGCTCAGTTTCACATAACATTAAGCTCTTGCACCTGATTTTATGTTGGTGTTGCTTATGTCCCTGCACAACAATATTCAAAACATGAGAAAAAAATTAATAATAATAAAAAAAAAATGATTTGTGAACTGCGTGTGTAATCTAGTGAGCTACTCACAGATACTGTATTTTGTCCAAGCCAGCCGGCAGTGAACCCGTAAGGCCATTATTGTTGGATAGATTCCTAAGCATCAACAAATGTATTATAACACGAGATAAGCATGATTTGTTTAGAATAATTTTATATTTATGATTCATATATTAAATTGTTCGAGCATGAACAAATACGCACAGATATCGAAGATTTTTCAGGCTGGCCAATTCTTTAGGTACACTTCCCGTGAGCTGGTTCATTGATAGGTCCCTGCATGTATCGATTTCGTATTTCAGAACACGAAGTTTATTCCTACATTTTTTCATATTAAAAATATTTCCCAAATCACAAATAAAAAATTAACTCGATACTCACAGAGCTAGAATCTGTTTGAGATTATCGAATTCCGCAGGTATTGGGCCTGACAACTGGTTCCCTTGCAATCGACTATACTTGCAAAACAAGATGCATTTAACAATTAGAGAAGAAAAGTTTGTGCCTGAACAAATAATTAAAAATAATAATGAAAATATTGAAAAAAAAAAAAAAAATGCGAGATTTCGCTTGATCGAAATATAAACGCGCACAGGTTGCGTAGACTCTTCAAGTTGCCCAACGTATATGGTATGGAACCACTCAAGCTGTTGTTTTGCAGAAGTAAGGCCGTTAGACTCTTGAGATTTCCAAGCTCTTTGGGTATTTCCCCAGAAAACTCGTTATCATTCAACAGCCTATCAATAGTGGGAAGAATTGAAAACACACAAATAAACAGAGTTTCCCAATTGAAAAATTTAAAGAAAACAACAATCAGCTAGCTAACTGTGGTTTTCGTAGAACACGACGTACAAGGTTTCCAAGTTGGTCAACTTGCCAAGTTCCGGGGCCAGTGTACCTTGTAATCCCTGTTGCCCAAGATTTCTAAGGATGTACAAAAAATGATTAAAAGAGATTTAATTAATAGTTTGTAGCAATTTAACATGAAGCAAATTAACTAGGCAAAATTGCATTTTTAATCCTGCTGATTTAACGCGGTAGCTTTTTTAGTCCCAAGATTTCAACTCTTTGTCTTTTGTTCCTGTAATTTTAAACTTTGTTGCATTTTCAGTCTCAAAAGACTGAAATTCAGTTGAATTTTAAAATCATTGGATCAAATTAATAGCAAAAATGTTCAATTCTTGGGACTAAAAACGCCACTGGATCAAACCATCAGGACTAAAATTGCAATTTTACCAATTAACTATATAGATCATCAATTCATGGATTCTTACATGTGACTGAAATTGCAACAAAATATAAAATTACAAGATATTTAAGTCCTGTAATTTTAAATCTTGTTGCATTTTCAGTCCCAAAAGACTGAAATTGCGTTGAATTTTAAAATTATTGGACCAAAATAATAGCAAAAATGTTCAATTCTTGGAACTAAAAACGCCACTGAATCAAACCAACAGGACTAAAATTGCAATTTTACCAATTAACTATATAGATCATCAATTCATGGATTCTTACATCTTAGTTGTGCTGTCTTGGTTATTGCAAGTGATATGCCAATACGTGCATGTGCTGACGAGTAGAGGATCCCAGTTAGCTGAGGCATCGGATGGATCATCTGTGATCCTTGCTTTAAAGTTAGCCAAAGCAGCAACTGTCAAACAAAATCGATCACCACACAACTTTAGATAGCAGAAAGAAGTAAATCGATCAAGCTCGAAATCAACAATGTTACATGGCTATGTTCGAAACCAGCGAACAATAATTGCGCATAGATAATATAGATATACATATATTTTAGTTTATGATCATACATTTTTGTACCATGGATAAAATTCCATGCAAAATCAGTCATTAAAAAAAAAAAATACCTATAGAAAAATAAAATTGCTTAAAATTAAACAATTACAAACCTTCATCCCCATTATCAGACATGGCAGTATGCACATTAGTGATGATTAAGCAGATGATTAAGCAGAGGGACACAAGCCCCATGTTTTCATTACACCTATCCATTAATTCTGACAAAAAAAGAGAAACTGAAGATGGAAAGCTTGAATTTTGTTTGGTCTTATTTTGATGAGGACAATGGATAGCTTATGTCAAAATAGCGTGTTGAAATGCTCGATATATATAGTAAATTAAGACTCGGAGCATGCACGCGCGGCCTATGTTTCTTGGGTTTTTGTCACTTTCATTTTGATTCGAATGGATAAATTTTTTGTATTTTCTTTGGTTAGAATAAAGGTAATTATGAAATGTTGACACTTATGTAACTAGTTGTGATATTTTGTTAAAGGCAGATCAATAAGGGGATTTAATAAGTGTTTTCTTTGGTTAGGATAAAGGTAATTATGAAATGTTTGACACTTATGTAACCAGTTGTGATATTTGGTTAAGGACAAATCAATAAGGGGACTGTAAAATTAGTTAACAATTGTAATTTATTTATCACCCCGAATATAGTACATTACTCCATTTGCATGAGTTACTTGTAACTATAAAACTAAATGTGCAGAATTTATTACTCATAGTGTATTTATAGAATTTCCTTTATAAAGTACTTATCTGCATAATTTATTTATTACTCATACTGCATTATTTTTAGCTATGGAAATAGTGTGTAGTTTGTGTGATACACGGGGTATAATGATAATAATATAATAAATTAGAGTAGCTAAGTAATATTAATTAGTATAAAAATAGTTTTAAAAATTAATATTAATTTATTTTTACTTTTAAGTTTATTATATATAATATTTTAATATATGATTTATATGTTTCTTACCAGTTATAAAATAATTGTCATTTTATGATTTTCGTTTAGAATCAAGGAATATGAAAATTTAACATCTTCAGACATTATCAATAATAATAGTAAAAAATACTTCTCTCTCTCTCTCTCTCTCTCTTTCTCTCTCTCTCTCTCTCTCCTTTTTTTTTTCCCGAAACGATAGAGGTACTATTATTAATCAAAAAGCGCACAAAAGTGCGAATAAAAAAAACAAAGCTCCCAACGGGAGAATAAAATGGGAGGACAGGTCAGAAGCCCGCCTAGAGTCCCGCTAGCAACGCTAGAATAAAAACTCGCACTAAACAGACCAACTACTCGACCACTACCCCAAAGGGGTAATACCAACACTACAAAACACAACAAACAATACAAAGACCCCAACAGGGTAATACCAGAGTGTCGGACCCCAACAGGGTAATAAAGGTGACACTCGGGCTAACTGAGGCCAAATGGCCCAGACCAAAACACAATAACAAAACACGAGACAAATACAGACACAGACAACACAAACGAAAACAACACAAACTAAAAAAACACAGACAGCCCTACCCCGACAAATAACCAAAACAAAACTACGGAAACAAAGATAACTACTAATAATATAAAGCCCTTCCACAGCAAAACTACCGAACGAACAGTCCACCTGTAGGAAACATCCGCATCCCGAGAAACCACCGAAACTGCCCAAAAGGCCTATCTGAAGCGGAAATCTAGGTCTCGGACGCAACCGTTGAGCAGACCCTCCCCTTCGCATAAGCCTAAGAAAACCAAATCACAGCCCACAACACCAATGCCCCGAAACCGGCTAACACCACTAGCCAGGAACGGAAGCACCAGTCTCCCTCGGACCCAACACCAGAGTCATAGAGGAAAGGGTTAGAAAGGCCACCTCAGCCACACGATGCACCAACTGTCACACGGCCACCTTTAAAGAGAAGAAAGCAGCCCCAGCCGTTCCTGAAACTGCCAACGAGAGCCTAGCGAAAACCCAACGAAAACTGCAATCCACTCCTGAAAAATGACCCACCCACGGCCGGAAGAGAAGCAAAATCCACCACCACCACCATTGTTGGCACGTACTCGACTATCACCACTAGTCGAATTCAACCGCGCGGAGGCCCCCTGCTCCCGAAACAGGAAAATCAGAGAAAATGGGCGAGGAAGATGCCACAACCACAGCCTCGACCGCCCCGACAACGATGTCACAAATGCCGGAGCCACACCAAGCCCCGACAGCAACCCCACCCTGCGCAACTCCATCCTAGGAAAACGACAGAGCAAGAAATCGAATCGATACCTGAAACGGCCATAGACGCAGCGGATCCGTCACTCGATCGCCCGCCATCACCCTCGGTTGCAAATGGCTGGTAGAGGCGCCAATCAGACCAAAGGAGTGCGGCCATGGGTCAACTGCCGGTTAGGGGGTCCGGCACCCCACTGAGGAAGGCGATGAAATCAGCTGAGAAGGATCGACGATTAGGGTTTGAGATTAGGCGACAGAGAGAAAAGGAGAGATGTATGTTTACAAGTTAATTCATTCCTTATTACAACTTATTATTTAAATTCCTAAATAAGTGATGGTAAAGTTGAAAAATTGTGGCAAATCTTATAAACTAAAAATTAATTTATAAAGAATGTAGTGTATATTAATTTAAAGTTTACATCAAAATTATTTAATTTTTTGGTAAGTTATAAAAATGTATATTAGAAAATCTTGAACTTCCCTTTCGAGTCTAATAATTCGTTTGATGATTCGACACTGATTAATTTATCATTATAATTTATAATAATAATATGTCTATTTTTTTCAAAAGCTAACAATTTACATTGTTGTTCGACGGCTGACTTATTTGTTTATCATTATAATTTATAATAATATAAGTTATTAATATTTTATTTTTTTCTTTCTAAGTAAATAATTTACTTTTATATTTCATCATATTGTTGGTTTGTCATCATAATTTCTAACAATATATATTATAAATATTTTTTCTCCACTTATAATTTACATGGCACTTCGACGGTTGACTCATTGGGTTATCATAATTTATAACAATATATATTCAAAATATTTTGAATTCTTATAAACTAGTAATTTACATGGCAATTTAGCAAATGATCCGGTTGTTTATCATTTTAATATCGTATATACTTGATGCTCGAAATAATTGTTTACTTATAGTTTTATATTTTAGCATTAATTTTTAAACCCAAGAGGATGAAAATATCAGTTAATATTTTTGATTACTTTATAGTAAATATGATTTATTGTATATACATTTATATTTTATAGAATTAATAACTTTAGGCTATTTTTATTTTTAAATAGGTATTAATTATACATTTGAGTTCACTTCATATATGAAATATTAACTACTAAACTTACTTATACTTTTGAATAATATTGCATAGAAGTAACTACTAATATCAAATTATTGATATCACTTCATTAAAAATAAAATAAAATAATTCATTGAAAATTTTTGAAATGTTTAATTATTAGATTTAGATCAGTTATTAACATCACATTGTCTAATATATTACCGTGGATGGTAAAGAAAATTTACCAAACTAAAATAGAAAAAACAAATAAAAAATTATATTTTAAAAACTTCTCTTATTACGCAAATAATAATTTTTCGGTGGAAAACCATACTTTTTATAGTAAATACAAATACTTTTATATATACTAGTACGTAGCCCGTGCGAACCATGACTCAATAATGATTAATCTTATAAATTAAAGTGGTGAATGAATAACGATTTGAATAAAAATAGTTTTAAATACTAATATTAACTTTTATATTTTTTATTTAATCATATACAATAGTTTAATATAGAATTTATGTGTCCTTTACCCGTTATGTTGTGCCAAAAATTTCCTTAAATCAAATAAGATAGAGAACAAATCAGCCCTTCTTATCCCAAGTAGAAGCTGAATCTGTCCCCACAGACGGCGCCACCAAGGGCCGAGAAGTAGCCGACCAGTCACCCTCTTCATCTCCCCTCTCACATCGGAGGGCTTGATGTGTCGGGTTACTGGGCAAGGACAACTGTTGATGCACTGGCTGCTTGGGCGACTCATTAGCTCATCGGTCCACTTCCTGAGCTCGTCCAATCGCTTCAGCTATGACCTTGTCAAGCTCCGCCCTCGTCATGTGTAATGTTTGATCTGTTGCTGCCAGAGGATTTCCCAAAGTGTCGCTCCCTCCTGCCAAGACCATCTGCTGGTTGTTCGACGGCCCCACTTGGTCCTTCCCTCCAACATAAGTCTGGCCGACCTGGCCAGTTTTGTCACCCATTGCACTGCCAAGCTCCTTGTCCTTGTCACTCCCGTTTCCCTTCACTTGGTTTTCCCCCTGCTCCTAGACATCTAAAGTCGGGGTTGGGGTCGTGGCCGAGGCTGGCAGCGTCTCCTTTGGTGTGACATGAGGCTGCGACCATCCCGGCGGAGGCCCCACTCCGTACGCCCTCTGGATTCACGCCTCATCCAGATCTTTAGTTAAGTGCTTCTTCGTGTTATCTACCATATCCCTCAAATCACGTGTTGCTATTTAAAATTAAGGAATATGAAAATTTAACATACAAATATTATTAATAAATAATACTCAAATGCATTTATTTTTCTCTTTCCTTACTCATACTTTATTACAATATATTATTTGATTCTTAAATAAGTAAACATAAATTTTGAGATGCGATAGTATACTGGGTCAACTCGCTCGAGAAGTGGTCTAACCAAACTAAGTGAACCGGGATGTTGATCAGGGTTTAAATGTTCTAAAGGTCGAAGAGGTACCAGGTCGACGGTGACGACCCAGGTAGAGGGGATGGCCGACGGGTTGAGCTAGGCTAAAGGATGGACTGGTAGAAACTCGACTTGGAGGTATGTAGGTCGACTTATTGACCTGAAGGATAATGCACATGAGCACAATGAGGAATCAATCTAGCTCCAAGAAGCTGAGTTGATCGTATGATTAGGTCGTCTAATAGGACAAACCAATGGATAAGAAGAAATATAATTAAGATAAGAACTACATGTGGATTCACGTGGCGACGCAGAATTGGGAAGTTCAGGCACTCAAAGAGTACGAACGGGCAATTTGGGCACCCGGGCAGCTCATCCGGACATTCTTGGGTTGCAAGATAACACCCCCTATATAAAGGGGTGAGGTATGTACTAACAAGCTTACACAGTATTGTTTATTGTCTTCTTCATCCATATATTGACTTCATATATATATATAGGATGTGGTTCAAATGTGAACTAAGTCTTAGCGTGAGAACCGTGAGAATTGCTATTTTTAATTGTATGTTGTGCTATGACTGATTGTGTTTTAGTGCTATTTTTAACATGAATGTTTATTAAAAATAACAGCCCAATTTATATTAGCATTTGTGAAAATGATAGCACCATGTTATATTAAAAATAGCATTTTACACAAATAAAAATAGGATCGAATGTGGTTCAAATGAGAACCAAGTCTTAGCGTGAAAACCGTGAGAACCGCTATTTTTAGTTGTACATATTGCTATGATTGATTGTGTTTTAGTGCTATTTTTAACATGAGT